GCTTAGGAGACCCGTTGCGAGAATGCGACTTCGGTTGAGGCATCATTGAGCAGATGATGCTGAGACGACGGTGACATAGCAACGGGAAGAGTGTTTCGGCTTGTGGGCAGATTGCGAGACGATGCAATTTCAAACGAAACGAAAGACTCGAAAAAAATGCTAACTTGAAGAGACTCAAAGAAGCCCAGTTCAGCATCGTGTGCACAGCTGGGTTTTCACACCTCAATGACGGGTGCACACGCACATTCCCAATTAGACGCACATCCGTGAGTGTGCGAGGAAATTTCGGGCAACACTCAAAAGTGAAAGGTTTATGAAAGGTATTTTCACCCAATTTCGTGTAAGGTGATGAAGGACTGGTTGTACAATTTTCACACAATCACATGACGTTTCCATGCAATTTCACAGACCCTTGCTTTCACAAAAGCTGCTAAACAAAGTGGATCACACATTCTCCAATTCGGTTTGTCTGTCGCTTTCCTAATCGAACACACATCCACGATTGTTGGACTATTGTTTAATAACATACAATTGGACATTTCATATAGAGCCACTCACACACTGCCCCCTCCATGTTCCTAGTACAGACATTGTGTGAAAATTAAACATGCCTGAGTTGTAAAAATTGCCGACGGATTTGTGTGGGAGACTCTTTCATTTGGTTTGATGAGACGAGCTTAAGAAGTCCCACCGGAATTCGAAGGAGGTGTGTTTTCCTGTTGTGACTGGGACGTCGTTTGAATTTGCCGAATCAGTCCTCGACACACCGTCACACGACGCTGAGACATATTTTTCGCGCTTATCACACTAGAAAAGTTATATGCAATCAGTGAAGGCGTGACGGGCACCCTGGGAACAATTTAACCCATAACGCAAATACTACTTTTATACTACTTTTAGTATTCTGATGCATTTTGTGAACGATATCATCTTGTCGTGTGTTGTTGCCTGTAAAAAGGCGAGAAGACATGTTAGTCACCATCCCCAATTGACGTAAGAAGTCTTTTTTTATGCTTTTCATAGTCGCTGGACACGGCCTGAGTTTGGGCTCGCTGGCTTCTGCTGTTCACGGCCTCTCTGCCGATCCGCTGCCGCAACTCTACTCCAGCATTCAGCCTTATGCAATGCGTAAGTTTCTCTTTTACAGCTACTACTCTCTCTCTCTCACACACTTTACTCTTGTG